CAGTCGCGAACCATTTCAACTCCCCGCCCCATTCCTCAGACGACATGTCCATCCTGGGCCTCCTGCAGTGCCACAACGCTGCTACCTGAAGGTTGCAGGAACAGCACCTCATATTCCGCTTGGGAACCCTGAAGCCCAATGGTATCAATGTGGACTTCACAAGCTTCAAAATCTCCCCTCCCCTGACTGCATCCCAAAACCAGCCCAGCTCGTCCCCGCCTCCCTAACCTGTCCGTCCTTTCTCCCACCTATCCACTCCTCCCACCTCAACCCCCACCCCTATCTCCTACCTACCAGCCTCATCCCCGCCTCCTTGACCTGTCCTTCTCCTCTCCACCTATCTGCTCCTTTTTCCATCTTCTATCCACCTCCCCCTCTCTCTCTATTTATTTCAGAATCACCTTCCCCTCCCTCATTTCTGAAGAAGGGTCCAGACCCGAAACGTCAGCTTTCCTGCTCTTCTGATACTGCATGGCCTGCTGTGTTCATCTAGCTCTACACCTTGTTATCTCAGATTCTCCAGCATCGGCAGTTCCTATTATCTCAAAATAATTTTGTTTTCTTTTCGAAGGCTCCTCTTGAGATTTCTCAGAGAATACTTTTTGGATTTCAGGGGTTAGTTTTTCATTGTCACTAATTCCTTCTTTAGTTGAGATTTGGTCGGGTAGCAACATTATCTTTTGAAGTTGTGTGTATGGTGTATTTGGACTCACAGAACAGGATTAGAAGAATTCATCAAGTTCTTCAATAATGATCAACCCTTCATTAAAATAAAGCTACAATACAGAAGGAAAACTTCAATTTCCTTGTCACCTCAGTATTTAAATTGCCACAAGACAAGAGCCATTTCTTTTTAAGCCAAATTTTTTTCAAAAATTGATGCACTTTTAACAAAACTTTCCAAGGAATTCGTTACCAATTACTTCAAGATTTACTGGCTAAGAATTAGCTAGGTATTCCTTTGTTGGGAGCCTTCCTTTCTAACCCATTTGCAGCCATTCAGTTGTCCATTCCTCGCTTACTATTGTATTCTAATACTTCTCTCCCCTCTTTCCTTTGGCAGCCATTGCCTTCTCCCTGCACTCCCTCCTTTTTGCAGCCACTCAATTCTCCCCTAATCTAACATTCACCTCTGCTATCCCTCACTCCACCTTTCCATATCCCACTTTTCGACTTACCTGGCCTCTCCTGGAAAGCTGTATGCTTCAACCCAAATCTCACCAGCAGATTCACGGTCCTGATGAACGGTCTAGGCCCGAAACATCGACTCTCCTGCTCCTCTAATGCTGCCTGACCTGCTGTGTTCCTCCAGCTCCATATTGTATTGACTCTGACTCCAGCATCTGCAGTTCTTGCTCTCTCACCAGCAGATTCACTCCCTCCAGACCTCACCCAGTAGACTTGTTAGCCTTATTACCACCACTCATCAGCCTTTCTCATGACCACTACTCACCTTCTCGCTGGTCAGACCTCTAATCACAGGCCTGTTTCTCCTTCGTACTTGCTGATAGTAGGCCTATGAGTCTATTTGGAGCAAACATGGATGAGAAACAACCTGTGATTGGAGGAGAAACTCTTTTCCAAATTTCTTAGGGGGTTTCCTTTGTCTGATTGGTCACTGCATGATTCATTTTTCCAGGTGATTTGTCCACCGTTGGGACTGATTCTACCTGCCACACCCCTTATTTTAAGCACTGGTTCTTTTACATTCACCTGAGCAGGCAGACAGCACCTCCAAAAGTGCAGGGTTTCCTCAATGTTGTGTGTTTGGGTTCCTTCATGCCCATCGTGATATAGTATGAAGGAGGATATCCAACTTCCTGTTCTAACTGGAAGAATCATGTTGATTGAACAACATGAAGGTCTACAGAACTCCTACTAGGAGCACATTAGCTCCATGCATGTCTCCTACAAGGCCTTTCTTTCTTCAGACCGTATTCCCATGACATTCACAGTAGATTGTGCACTTAGTCAAGCATTAATCCTTTCAAACCATATACAACACTACAGAACTGCAATGAAGTGCCAGCCTTGATTTTCCTACTCAAGTCCTGGAATGGAACACTGAACCTGCTGAATCGGACACCTTACTTTTGAGAAGATGGTGCTGAGTTTCTTTATTTGCTGTTGCAATTGTGTAGAGAATGTATCCAAAGTACTGTTATGGAGTGAGTTCCAAAATTTTTATCCAGCAATAATGAAGGAGCAGCATATTTCCAAATCACGAACATGTGTGACTTGGAGGAGAATTTGAAAATGGTAGTGTTCCCTTGCACCTTTTGTCCTTGTCTTCCTAAGTATTAGAAATCTTCTTCAAAGTGAATTTTAAAATTAGTGGATGGGTGCCAATTAGACAGGGCTGCTTTGTTCTGAATAACGTCAAGCTTCTTGATTGTTGTTGGCAATGCACTTGTATTCCATCACACTTTAACTTGTGCCTTGTAAATTGTCCAAAGGCTTTGGGGAGTCAAGTGAGTCACACTCCACAGAATTCCCAGCGTCTGAGCTGCTCTTGGAGCAACAGTATTATGTAGATAGTCGCGTTATGGTGACCCTTAACATGGTAGCAATGCAGTATTCTACAATGGTAATGCCATCGAAGATCAAAAGTTTAGATTTAGTAAAATTTTATCATATTGTATAGAAGTGGCATGGCATGAATGTTACCTGCCACTTACCAGTCCAAGCCTAATTGTTGTCAAGCAAACACAAATGTTGTCTCATTATCCAAGGAGCTGCAATTATCAGAGAATATTCCCTACTTCTAATCATGTAAAGGAGGGAATATTTGTGATGAAGTGGACGAAGATTTTTGGGCATTGGACGCTGCTTCTTGCAAAGTCCTACACCGGTGTCTCGAGATGGAGGCCATTGACATTCAACAACTCCAACCATCTTCTGCATTTTTGACAACAATCTGGCAGTTTCGAAGTTAGAACAATGAATCATTTCTTCCAGAATTTATATGGGCAGAATGCCAATGTTGATCAGTACAATACAAACAATGGCATTTGTTTTCTCTGCTGTCTGTCTTCAATGAGTTCCATCTTTCTCCTGTGTGAACCAACTTATGAATTTTAACTGTGTAGAAAGTGTGTAGGAATGGAAAGCACAGAATCATGCAACAGAGTATGAGGCCATCATGTCTATGTTGGATCTTTGTACAAAATAACCAATTACTCCCTCCCCTGCTCATTACCTATAGTCATGCAAATTTCTCCTTTTCAAGTATTATTCCATTTCATTTGAGCGCTACTGTTGAAACTGAATTATTACGTTTTCAGGTGTGGCACCGTGATAGTGTCCCTACAACTGAACTAGGAGGACTGGGTTCAAGTACCACCTGCTCCAGAGGTGTGTAATAACATTTCTGAACAGGTACTCCAGGAAAAAAAAAAGTTCAGTTTGCATAGTGAATCTGTAATTCATTTGAATTGTACAAATGTGTTAACATTCCTCATTAGATTCCTGAAAGAACAACCAACACATTTTAAATTACAATGTCTCGTATAAAGTGATTCATTGGGTTTTCGACCACTTTAGAAAACAGCTTAATGATTCAGGTGACTGCACATAAAAGCATGAGAGATAATATATTTTGTGTCCACTTGGAACTTAATATAACCTTAATGATGAGGCAACATACAAGAACTGTATCTGTTACATTATGTCTTATAGTCAGCACACCCTTAAAAGACTCGCTCATGATATCACTGTATTTTAGCATGTAAGCTGAACGTATTAAGGTGTGATACACCATATTACCTTGGAGCACTTGAACATGATACTCTGCAGGAAGCATGGCGCTCAGGTGGAGCTTACTTGATTGTTATTAGCCCAGACACTTATGAGTCTGAGGAATACAATGTTTGTATACAATAATGATTTGTAATAAGTTTCTGTTGGATTCTTCAATACCATAATATTCATGCCCAGTTTCTTATATGGGGGAGGTAACATAAGCATTGTTACATTAGGTAAAATACCCAGTTGGAGGCAAACTCATGCCAGTATCAGAAATGAAAGGTTTCAATAAAGCAGAGAGACCAGAATTGTTCTGCTTAGAGCAGAGAAATTTAAGAAGAGATTTCCTTTACAAGAATTAATCAGATTATTTTTAGAGAGTTATTGTTGTACCTGTGAGGAAAGATCAGAGGTGTGGAAGTAATTAGATTGAATAAGCACAATGGGCTGAATGGTCTTCTATGCTGTCCCATTCTGGAATCTATAAAAGTATACCATACAGCCATTAGGTAATGGGGTGGGGGGTTTCTTGGAGTGCGTGAAGGTGGGGAGTTCAACTTAATTTAAAAACTGAATTTTTAAAAAGACATAGTAATAAGAAAATGATAGTCATAATATAGAAGGTGTAGAGAATTAACAAGAATAATGTCAGAATAAACAGAGGAAATGAAAAGGGTTCCACAGAGTTCAGTACATGGACCCCTATTTCAAAAATGACCAAACTAAAAAGCATAAATGTTTTGTCATCTCCATGCTGTAGAACTGGGTAATGCTCATTAATACTTTTTGTTTAATTCATTCACAGGATGTGTGCATGGCGAGGCCAGCATTTATTGAGCAGTAAGAATCAACCACAATGCTATGCTCTGGAGTCACATGTAAAACAGACAAGGTTAGGATGGCGGATTTCCTCTCCTAAAAGGCATTAGTGAATCAGATAGATTTTTCCAATGTTCGATAATGGTTTCACGGTCATCATTAGACTTTTAATTCCAGATTTTTTAAACAACAATTTGAATTCAATTCCATCCTCTGCCACAGGAGGATTCAAATCCAGGTCCCTGCGACATTACCTGGGTCTGCACATTACTCGTTCATAGTTAATACAACTGGGCATCACCTTCCCTCAAAAAAAACACTGGTAAACAGGGAATTTCATTAACCAATGGAATACAGTGTAATACCTATAGCAAAATAATCAAAGAATTGAAGTACATTAAAGTATATGAAGTATAAGATAATATGCAGGTACTCACCAGTAAAAAAGTAAAGCGTAGTATGCTTTCTCCTTCAGTCCTTCTTTGGAAATTCAATAAGTCAGGGTGGTTGATCAACACACCTCAGAGCAATTTGCCAATTTTTATTTGTTAAAAAAGTAAATGGAAAAGCTGGATTATATAGCCAGAACTATAGAATACACATCAGTGGAGAGTGTAGTGGGATTACACTGGTCAGACCACATACAGAGTTAAACTCGGTAAGAGTGGCTGTGACCAGCTACTGAGAACACCAAGGACAACATCATCTTCACCACTTTAAGGAGCACTCACTGGTGTTTCTATGACAACCAGGCAGCTGATGAGCTGCTTTAAGGGTGAATGAGCCATTTTTCAAGAACTGCTGCAACTGCAGCACCACTGGGAGTAGTGGCCACTATAGGCACTGCACATGGTCCAGACAGACAGCATTGACATCTCCCTTGGAGTGAGGTAAGTGAGGTCAGGGTCACTGGGTCAGTTGCCAGAGGGTGAAATGGCTGGTGAGGATGGGTTGGGGTGTTTCTGTTGGTTCAACCTTCCTAATGTCTGAGCAGGGGTTTCTTGCTCCCACCAACCAACAGCACAGAACCTACAAGGCAGTCTCCCCATAAAACAAAGAGTCTCACTGCCACCAGTAAAATGTCAGTGGGCAACGGGCTGAGATTTTAATTGACTAGTGAAGGACCCCAGTTTGGCCCCTGTGTGGAAAAGCCATTTTTCTGCCTTCTCCACTGCTGATTAAAACCCACAATTTCAGGCGGGTAACAGGCATCCATCCCCTGCACCCTCCCAATTCTTCAGCAAACCTTCCCTTCTTCCACCCACTCCTGGGGTTCCGTTAAATTTCACCCAAAATTTCCTTATTTCTGATACCACAGCACAGAAAATATATGCAAAATACCTTGGAGAGATGCCTTGAAGAGCAACAAGAGGTGAGAAAGGGCTGAACTATCAGTGAAAATTGAACAAAATCTAATTCTGCTATTGAGAAAAAGTTTGCAAAGGCAATCTCCAAGAGATACATAATACCAAGTAGAATAGAAGAAATAAAAGCCAGGCTATTGTTTCATTTTAAGATAGAGGATCAAAAAATCTTATTTTAAGTGATTTAAAACAAAACAGTGGTCTTTACTCAAGACTGCCACGTATTCAAAACAATCTATCAGACAGTTAATAAAGAAAATATTAACATTGTGAGGCTGGATACTAAAATAGGCAAGTTGCTAAAGGGATCACCTTCAATGAGCACATGGGCTTTAATGTGGGATGACTGTTTGCCTGTTACATTTATCGGTTTCATGCTTATATGTTTATTTTGTCCTCAGCCAAGACGTATGTTGAAATATCACCTTTTATGACAAAGACACTCAATTTTGAGATAGCAGCCATTGTAACCCATATACATGGATTTGTGATTACTGAGGTAGATTTTGAGGTAGAACTTGGTTACGTTATATCTGAAGAAGGGTCCCGACCCAAAGCATTAACTTTCCTGCTCCTCTGATGCTGCCTGGCCTGTTGTATTCCTCCAGCTCCACACTGTATTGTCTCTTACTCCAGCATCTGCAGTTTCTGCTATCTCTACATCTATACTAGGTTTTCTAAGTGAATTAGAATGGATGGTTTTATGAACCTATTTCATTTGAACATAATGTCATAGAAAGTTCATCTGGCAGCATGGTGGAATCCATTAATTTTCCACCCATCTCACCTCTGGATCCTCCGGTGCACTGGCCACATGCAGCTGCACGAAGAAATTGAAGTTTTGATGTCTGACTTTACAAAGGTTGCTTTCCAAATAACATGTTTCTAAAATAGTTAGCTGCAGTCAGGAAAGGGTCCATGCTCAGAAACTGTTCTGTTGTTCTGCAGCAACTGCACAGCACTCATTTGCCCAATGTTACAAATACCTCCCTTTTCCCATTAATGCTCTTAGGCATGTAATGTTCGATTCAGTCTATCTGATCACAGATCCTTATATGGTGCTTGATTGCTTTAGCCTGTGGGTGGAACAGTGAGGCAAGTGATTGATTCCTGACTTTCAGGGAGAGAATGCTACAGAATTAGACATGATGCTCTTAGCTATGATTTCTTGTATGTTGAAAGGTCTGTAAATTCCTAAGCTGTTTTCATCATGTAAAAAAAACCATTTGAATTTAGGGCTATCTCTGCATTACTCTGAGATGAACAAAATACCCAACACTAAATTCAAAATCAATCCAGCAAAGAGGCAGTCACACTCGGCCATTATGATGACTTTGGAGTGGAATTGAAGACTTTCACTGCATCCTACTCCTAGTCTAGAAACAGCCATCTGACAGAATATCCTCTGAGATGACCCATCCAAGGTAAAGGAATAAAAACCTGTGCACTAGATTGTGCAGGAATTCAACTACAAAGTTCACTCCATGATATGAATTCTTTCTGTCCTGGAGAATTAGTTCGGATTACCTCTTAGGCCAAAAGATGTCAAAATATTTCTCTAGGTATTTCATTGTATTGGCAGTGAGTACATTCCATATTTGACAGAGGATGTATGATGCACAGCAGGTGTAAAAGTCAGCAGTGCCAGACTGCAAGACCCCGACTCAGAGTTTGACAGGACCAGCTATTTATTCACTTCAACATCCCATTGAGCACGCAAAAAAAAAGCCAGGCAAAGTATGAAATTGAATCATGGTGACCTGTCACAGATGCTAAAGCTGGAGTGGAGGGATAAAAGGCTGAAAACAGGTCACAGGGCTGCCAATTATGTCAGGAAACAGTGTTTGGAATGTGGGGTTTAAAGGAGAAACGTTTTCAAGATGTTGGATAATAGCACATTTAAAATATACAGGATTTCCAAGTGGAATATTCTGCAGTGTTAAATCAAAGGACTTTTGATCACTTTGCTGACAAACCAACTTTTATATATGATTTCCTACCGTACACATATTGATTTCCCCTTAAATTGGTATCCTTTTGAAATGTGCTGATGAATGCAAGGCAAAAAAATCCTTCAACAGAATCTTTTTCAGAAATATTTGGGATATATTTTGTTAAAACACAGCACAAAATCATGGCCACCATCTTGAAGGCATGTTGTTTTACAGTTGACTGGCATTTAATAATCATGTTCAATTACTACAGATCGTATTAATTTTAAAGCTTCTAAATCCAAGATATTTTCTGGTTACCATCGATAAAGTGCCACAGTAATTATCTGCATTCTAAAACCTGTCACAAATCAAGTGCAGTTAGTACTTGAGGTACAATGGGTTGGAAAAGGGCCTGATGCCCCACCATACCAGTGTGCATGTACAGTGTATGCAGAAATGCATTTGTAGATTGTGTACTCTGACTTGCCTAGTCAGATCATTTCTGATGTAGTTATATTTAATTTATGCAGCAGTCATTAAACCAGCGGTATTCCTCTGATTGGTACTACTGTACCTCATGCTATCTGCCACCTCTGCCAGTATGTTTTTCAGAAAAAGGATTGTTCCAAGGAGTTCCCTGCCAGCAATTCTCTCTTGCCTATACCTTGCCTGGGGCCTGTCAAATGCCCGGTGGTAGACAATACACCATCATAGAGTCTTAGTGAAACTGTTCTTAGTCAACAAGATGGTTTATTGTGTGACACGAATTGATACAAATGCATACTCATCAGGGAATAATCACTAGACTCGTGAGAGCGATAAAGAATACATCATCTTGCTTCAAAGGCCAATGTAGAACTTATTATCTCCACCCTCAAGTTGTACCTGACATCATCATATTGTGTGGAGCTCAACCAACCTAGTTAGGTAGATTGGCCAGGCTAAATTGCCCATATTGTCCAGGTGAATTAGCCATGGTAAAGACAGGTTACTGGGATAGGGTGGGGGTGGGGGAGTGGGGTCTGTACGCGATGCTTTTTAGAGAGTCAATGTGGAGTTAATGGGCTGAATGGCCTGTTTCCACACTAAAGGGATTCTATGATTCTATTAAACTAAAACATTACTTCCTTACACAATATCACTGCCCAACTTTTTTCTCCATCATTAAGCATTATACATTCAGTATATAACTACATCACATTTACCACTGCCTGAGATCCTCCCACCCTCTCCATACCCTCCAGCCCTCATTCTTTATCAATTCAGATGGCCTGCAAATTTCACAATATAACTGTATTTTTTAATAAAATTCTTTGCAGTCCTATGGATGCAACATTTTCAATAGAATTCGAAATTTGAGTTTTCAGGTTTCTCCCATCAGCAATTCTGATCATAATAAGCCCCAGTGGAGTTGGATGGGCTGATAATTTAACGAGGCATTTTGAAAGACAGCATTTTTCTTCAAATGAGACTTAACCTTCTGGACCCATACAGAGCTTCTCCATTTGACCACGGGTATCTTGTCAAAATTGTTACATTTGGAAAGATAGAACTGACTGCACAGTGGCTGAAAGACCAATTAGAAAGCTGTGATCCATTGTCTGACATGACTATATCGTGGATCTCATATATAGCCAACATCTCATGCAAAACCTTAGAAACAGCCACTATTGGAGTGGTGTATAATGTTTTCACCTCTATCCATCAAGAAAAATGGTCAACATCCTATCTATCAAATATGACTAGATTTGTTCCCATTCATTCCCACCTTATGGTGGGGAAAGTAATGGGGATCAGTGGCTATTGATGTTCAGGCCTGTGTGGCCATTCTTTCATCAAAACCATCATGTTACAAATAATCATGAAATTCTGTTGATGCTCAAGTCATCTTTGTGACCAACCCGCTGGGTCTTTGGTCTGTCCACCAACACAATACCAGCAAATGGCAACACAGTCTCAGGCTTTCTTTTGCTCCGGTCATGTTTTTTATAGAGCTTGTTTTGGGTTGGTAACCTCTGTATCTTAGTAGCCCAAGTAAACAATTCAATTTCACCAACAGATTCCTCATAATTTCTTGTAAGACAGTCAACTATTGCCTGTAACATGTATCTTGCCCTCCATATATTTCATCTCATAGACAAATCTCATAAGGCTAAGTCAGAATCTCCGGAGGCATTCCTGGCAAACCTTTCTCCATTAATAGGGAGACCAGTGGTTTATCATTAATTTTCACAGGCACTTTCACACAAATGATACAGTCTGAAAATATCTTGCATACATCTCATGATCGAGAAAGCCCCCTTCTCTGTAACTGCATAGTGTGTTCCACATCTTACACCACTCTGAGATTTCTGACATCCAGCTGATAGCTCCTGAAAGACCACCACCTATACACTTGTAGCTGAAGCATCTGCAGCTAC